GGTGTAAGACATTGCTCGGTTTTTCTTTCATCCTCATCCCAACTGTTGGCTGGATACCAACTTTGGTACTAAAAAACACTATATCACAGTTGACTGAGTGTCTTGGGGCCTAACGACTATTTCATCTGAGCCAGAAAGGACTAACGGGTTCTCTCTGATGTCGACTTGGGCCCCCCTGGAGGGCAGAGTGTTCTGAGTCCTGCTCAGAGTGTCCTGACCATGCGTTTAGGGTGTGCGGTGGGGTGAATCTCCAGAACATGCCTCACCAGCTCTGCACAGACTTATCACCACTTCCATAACCTCATGAACAGTCAGGAATATATACGTCCCATTATCTTTAGGAGACGTTACAAGTAGAACTAAGAGAATTATTTTAATGAAGTTCACCAAAATAAAGAGAAATCTGTCCAAGTTGAAGGTGCACTATCTTCCCTAATAAATAACAAAAGCTCAAATATCTGCCACAAACGTGAGTGTGTTAAATAAGAGATGTGGAAAACTGGCCTCACATTTCTGTTGGTCTCGTTGCTATGTGTCCTGGTCGGTGATAGTTATTGGAATCTGTGGTGTGACGGAAAATAATTACCTGGAGTTGGCAGAAAAGAAGGAGGGGAGGGAGGAGGGATGGAAGGAAGGGCGGGAGAAAGAAAATCCCCTGGGCTCTCAGATTGGATGCATGTAGCCCAAATATTTCAGAGGTCTGTCTGCAGGCTCCAGATGCAAACATAGCCTTCCGGGGTCACTCAGCTAGCAAGTGTCAGAAACAAAGGAAGTTCTGTCTTTGGGGCCAGTAGACAGTAAGAGATGAACCTGCGAGTCTGAAGAGACCGGCTTCTGGGAAGCCTCTTCACCTAAGACCTGGCTCACAGTGGGTGGGGGGAGGCCCAGAAGGCTGGGCGTCTGGCTGCCTGGAGGGAATCTGTGCTCTTCCACTTCTGCATGAGCTACGGGCAGACCTTGACAGATGACTTTTTTGTCCCTTGGAACCTCAGTTTCCCCAGCTGTCGAACCGGGGACATGACTCCCACGTCCTGAGGTTGTGTGAGGCTTCTCTCAGCTCTGGCGTGGCGGGCAATGCTTACTGCTGATTGACAGATGACCTCTATCTGCAGACAGGCCAGAGGCTGCGTTGAACACAAGGGCAAGCAGCAAAAGCAGAGCCTGGGTGCTGACAGGAGACACGGCTTCCTTGCTTTAGTCAAAGTTCCATTTCTCTTGTTTTCCATTTTCTCATCTCTGCTGGGAGAAGGCAGGTGGGTTTCTAACCAGCGCCTGGACCCTGTGTGTTTGCAAATGGGCCACAAGGGAAGTAATGTCTGAAAAGATCTCAGCACAGACTGGGTTGAGGGCTGGGTCAATTCCCTCCCTCCCCAACTGTCAGGATGCCTGGTCTGCAGGATGGCTGGGGGTCCACTAGGACCCACATCTTGTCTTTATAGGTCCTAACATTCCAACCTTTCCTCTCGCTCATAAAGTGTTCCTTCCCCTTGTGCTCCCCACGTCTCTCCAGGGATGGTGGACGGGAAAGGCACTGTCAAGTGGGCCAAGACCGCACATAGGAACTGGAATTAAGATCGGTCCTTTCCACAGATTGCTGAACACGGGCGCCGTGTTTGGCCTTTCTGAACCTTACTTAACCAAGAGGCTCAAACTGGTTTTGCCTTTCTCGCTGGTCTTTTGTTTTCTGAAAAGCATCAAGGGAGTAAACGATATGAAAGCTACATTAGCAAACGTCGGACTCCCCTAGAGGGGGGCTTGCATCAGCTCAGGCGGCCGGCCCCACCCCTGTGTTTCAGCAGGCCTGGGGTGAGGCCTACGAATTTGCATTTCTAACAAGTTTTCAGGTGGGGGTGATGGCGCTGGTCCAGGGACCAACACTTTGAGAACGCTGCTGTGGAACATTCTAAGATAGAGCTTCCTAATTTTTCTCTGCTCTCTTGACGTTCAGGGCGTGGGAGAAAATGCTGTGGAGTAAGTCTGACGCTCATCTGAGAGCAGGTAGAGTAGGACGGGCAGAAATCGGAGAGTATAAAATCAGAGGCAACGCTTGCTGGCGTGCAGGCCACCTGCAGGTGATCGGAGGTAATGAAAACCCGGGCAGGTTGCGTGTCCCTCCTTCTCTGCCTGTCTGGGCTGAAAGCAGGTGAGGTGGCCGGCGGGGGACGGAGCGGAGGCAGGGAGACCCAGGGGGCAGTGGGTTTGGGTGAGATAGGCAGGAAACAGATTCGATCCATTGTCCAAAATATCTGTTCAGTACAGCATAACGCTGGGGGAAGAGGAAGGGACTGGGAGAGTCCCCGGTTCAAATCCGGATTCTTCCTCTCGCTGGTTGGGTGATCACGGGCAAGACACTGACTCTCTTGAAGCCTCAGCCTTCTTATCTATAGAATGGTAATAATCTTTAAGGAAGAGGCAGCTTGGAAATCCCGCCATAGGCAACAAGGTAGATTGGGGGACATTAGGCCAAGTGAAACAAGCCAGTCACAGAAGGACACAGACCACGTGATTCCGCTATGTGAAGCACCTAAAATAGTCAAACTCGTAGGCACAGAGAATGGTGGCTGCCCGGGGCTGGGGAGAAGGGAGATGGGGAGTTGCTGTTCAATGGGTATAAAGTTTCAGGCACACAGGATCGGTAAGCTCTGGGGTCTGCTGTCCACCTTCGTGCCCGTAGCTAGCAGTGCTATCTTGGGCACTGTCTTGCCAATGGGTTTCAGCCCCACGCAAGTTCGCTATGGATTCAATGTGACCAAAGAAATTGACAGCAATACGTTCTTTGGGGTGAAACGGTTTATTACCCGGCTTGTTCTCCCGGCAGTAGGTCGGGCACTAGCGTCTCTGCCCCCACCCAGGGCACTGGGCCGAGCTCTCTATATAGCACAATAATAGCTTATTGCCTAAAGGTGTGGAAGCGGTAGGCTAGCAACAGGCCAGTTACATCATCAGGTGGGTTAAGTTCAGTGAGGATCCTGGCCACAGGCATTTAAAAATGTGTTTGGAAGGTAGATCTAATGTGAAGTATTTTTACCACAATAGAAAGAAGAGAGAGAGGAAGCTTGTTATGTATTATTTTGGAAAGCTCTCCACGATCTTTTATTTTTTTTGAGGAAGCAAAGTTCAAAATAAATCGAGTGTAGTCTAGGCTATCCTTTGTAAAAAAGTTATGAACACATGCCCTGGAATATTCATAAACTATCTCCACAGGTTTCACAAGAATTGGGACATCGGCTACCTGTGGGAAGGGGGACTGATGGGTGGCTGGGGTCAGCGATGCCTGGGAGGACTTTTATAGTTTCCCTTTTGTAACTGCTTGGAAGATTGAACCACGTGACTTATGTCCTCACAAAACAAATTCAACAGAGAGCAAGGGTTACAGTAGAAAAGGCAGACAACCTCTCCCATCTGTTTATGCCCTGCATCCTGTCCAAGCCTGCCAGGAACACAGGAATTAAACAAGTTGGGTTTATCACCCGCTGGACCCAGGAGACCATATGTCACAGGGACCATGGGCTGACTGAGTAAGAAAGCATCAAAACCCATTCTAGGGTTTGGGCTTGCGCCCTGGCTGGGAGATCTGGGGGGCAGAGGGGGCATTAGGTTAGGGAAGCTGGGGCTCTCTCAGTTGAACACTGTCAGAAATTCCATGCCTGGGTATCTCGACGAATCTCTGGCGTGGGGAGCAGACTAGAACACGGAGAGAGGTGCCAACAGGGAGTAAGCAGCAACTCATTTCGGCCAAAGGGAGGGAGGCATCTGGCCCTTCGCAGCACAGGGACTGTGCGTCTGCCTGTGTTCCCACAAAGTTCTCAAGTGGTCCTGCTTCATCTCATTGGCTCACATCTCAGAGCGACCTTGCCTGTGACTCCGTGGTTCCGCCCAGGAGGAGAATGACATGGCCAGCGGTTGGGGTGAGGGGCTCGTGGAGAGGCGCTGGCCTTTGTCTTCTCTTTCTCATAACATGTTAGGCACAGCTGGTTGTCCAGATGAGTTATTTGCCTGAAATGGTGACATGCAGGTAAAAGCTAGGATGCTCCCTCCAGCCCTCAGACGTGTGGGATTTCAACCAATGGACAGAGGTTGGGTGACACTGGACTTGCCCTAACTTACTCAAAGGCCTTTGCAACAGGGAGAGAGCACGCCTGCCTGGATGGGCTTTCTTGAGTAGATGCGAGTGTCCCACCCCCAACTGGAAGCGATCGTAAGTCATCCAAAATGTGATAGCATAGGTTTCCCTGCAACAGGAAAGGAGCTGACTATGTGAACTCAGGGGGCTTTGAATAGCTGTTAGTCTAGAAATGGAATGATTTTAGAGGTGGTCTAAAGGTTACCCATTTTTTTCTCTTTCAGAACTGATTGCCCATTTACACCATCTGGTTCCAGGTGAGGAGACATCTCTTTATTTGTCAGCATCTCAGATGTAGCCCTGCCCCCAGCCCTTGCAACAGCATCGCACTCCTGAAGTCCCTTGCACTTTCCTGCCATTTACTCTTTCCTTCGCTAGTCCTCTGGTGCAAAAGCCCCCCTGGGGTCATGGCAGCCTAGTCCTGTCTTTCAAAGCCGTTTCAGCCTGCATGCCAAGATCTCCTCTCCTGACCCTCCAGAAAAGTACTCGCTTCTCTGTTGCAACTAAGGTCAGCGTGTGTGTGTTCTATTGTTTGTTTTTTTGTCAGTTTTAACAACCTTCTATGTAGAAGTACAATGTGCATGCCATTAAATTCACCAATTACCATGTCATGATTTTTAGTAATTACAAAGTGGTGGAAACGATGCCACAATCCAATTCTAGGACATTTCCATCACCCAAGAAAGTCCCTTGGGTCCCTTTACTGTCACACACCCCCCACCCCACCCCTCTTTCCCACCTCCAGGCTCAGCAACTTTCTGTCTGTATAGATGGGTCTTTTCTGGACATTGCATATAAATGGAATCATGCGTGTAATCTTTTGCATCTGTCCTTAAGTTAAAAAGTTAAGCCTGGATCTCATACGGGCTCACCGGAGAAAGCTTTGCCTCAGTGTCTCACTTTGGAAGAGTCGAACCATTTCCACATGCAGACAACTGGTACTCAATTCTAATCTCTAGTGTTCATGAAATTTGGAGTTTCAGGACAGAAATAGAGAGGTGGGCACACTTTGTGGGGAGAGCCAGGCCAGTGAAGGGGACACTTAGTTACAAAAATGTCAATTGGCTTTTTTTTTTAACCAGTTTAATCACCAATTACTTGTTTGGGGGTGGAACCAATATAGCCTAGAGTATATGGTGGGAAGACGTGGCCCATCAGCCCTCTGGGTTTGGGGCCAGAAGGAAGCTATTTTCCAAGCAGTGAACCGTCGGGTTTTTCTCTGTATAGAGACGACATGCCCAGGACCAAAGCTGACCTAGGAGGAGCCTGGTGACAGTCCCCAGTTCATCGAGCTGATGAAAGGACACCATCAGATGTGCTAGTGTTTTTAAATTGTGCACAACATGCCCAGCACAGAGTAAACTACCTGATAGCTCATGACAAAAACAAGTAATAAAAACAAATCAATAAACAGAATAGTAACAAATAACACTAAGCAATGAAAATTGTTAACCTACAATGTTAAATGGTAACTATTATAACAAATAATATAGTTAAGTAATAAAAGTACTAACCTCACTGTTAATGAATAATGCTATAATTATTAAATAAGAAATATGAATAATGTATAGCCACAAATAAGAAGTGATCGCTCGATAATAAAAGCAAATGGCTTATGAAAGGCCGACTAATGCTAAGTTTCTTGCCGGTCCTTATCAGCTGGGACTAGTTGATACGCTGTGGGTCCAGCTTCGAACAAGACACAGGGAGTCACTGCTGACAAATTAAAGACTCTGAGCAAATCATTACCCATTAAATAAAAGAAAAACGAACTTGGAAGGAAGTTCAGTACAAATGGATCTAGCCTAGTCTGGATGTTCAAGGAAGTTTCCTTCACAGGCTGAACGTGGGAGAAGAGTAAATAGGCAAAGGGTGTGTGGCTTCCTGCTGAGCAGAAAAGACCCTGTCTATAAATCCCCAAGGTTGGAAGCATCCAGAAACAAGTGACTTCTGTCATCTAGGCATGGCCCAGTGCTGGGTGGTGACGCACGGCACGGAGGGACATGGATGGCTGTGAGAGGAACTTCAGAGCTAAGGATGAGGCTAGGAGATTACTTTATCCAGGAGAGAGGGATAAAGACTCCAGAATCTCAGCTGAGGAGTTGGGGACACAGTTGCTAGAAGAACCCCCTGAAAAAGGGGCCAGCAACTCCCATCAGCTTCCAGCTCTGGGCTGAGTCAAGTCTCCTTGGATGGCCAGGTGTACTTTATAGACACAGGAAAGGCAGGTAGTGAGAGCGGGCAGGGGGGGATGTGGGGCGGGTGAGCATGGGGCTGAGGGGGCAATGGGCATTAGTTAGAAAGTCGATTCCCTCTGGAAGCTTGCCCACGGTCAGCCTGTTTCCTCTTTTGCAGAGTTTACGAACAAGTCCTGTGTCTTTCCGTTTATTTATGGTGACATGATTCACTACACCTGCATCTCCGTCCACAGTGATTATGACTGGTGTTCCCTTGACAGGAAATTCCAGGGCAGGTGGCGGTACTGCACAGGGTACGGTAAGTATGGCACAGCTGGGCCGTCTTGCGTGCCTAGGACCCAAGCAGCATTTAAAGCAGCTGACTACAGGGTTTTGGGGTGTCAGAGAGAAATCTGAGGCCAGATCCTGACTCGTCTGCATGTTTTTACCACTTGTGAACAGTTGGGTGTTGGGTGTGGTTGAAAAGCACAAGTCATTAGTTTGGCAATAGTTGATCATAAAATTTTCTATGTTCCTATTTCCCCTCCTTTCTCTTCCCTCTCTCCGCAGACCCCCCCACATGCACCTTCCCTTTCTTCTTCAGAAAAAAGCTCTTTTACAGATGCACCAAGGAAGGTTATATTTTGAATCGGAGTTGGTGTTCCCTGACAAGAAATTATACTCATGATGGAAAATGGAAGCAGTGTTCTCCTCACCAGTAAGTTGTCTGGGGAAGGATGCAGTGGGGATCTTAGAGATCTCTTAAAGTGGGGAACCTTTTGGTTAATGGAAATGGAAGAGTGGGGACTAGATTATCAGGTGATGGCTTAGATCAGGGGTCAGCAAACATTTCGTGTGAAGGGCTCGGCAGTAAGGATTTTAGGCTTCACAGGCCATATGGTCTTTCACGTGCTGAACTCTGCCTTATAGCACCGAGGCAACCACAAGCAATCGAAAAAAAATTGAATGTGGCTGTGTTCCAATAAAACTTTATTTGTAGACTCTGAAATTGGAATCCCATATAATTTTCAGGTATCGCAAAATATCAGTCACCTTTTGATTTTTTTTTTTTTTTTTTTTTTT